TATATATATATATATATATACAGACACCAGTGTTTTCAAAGGTGGGGGCCTTTAGTGGGGCATTTTAGCTATTACAGGGTGAGGCATAAGCTATAAAGTGTCGGGTCTAAGCCACACAATATAAAAGAAATATAAGACATAATTTTTAAGAGATAAAATAAGAACTTGTACTTATTCAATTTCAAAATAAGTTTTTTAGGACTAAAATCTTCAAGATAATGATATAAATCCTTGTTAAAGAGTATAAACTTATACTAAATTGATCTCAATCCTTGAATATTATTCATTCTTTAAGTTCATCCTCAAAATCTTTTTCTTTTTCTTCACCATAAATTACAACTAGGTCTATGTTGTCTATATTAATTGTAGACTTCATTAAGGTCATCGTTATGCTTTGTCTCAGGGATTTTTTCTATAAGAATATGTAATTATGTAAAGAATAATTAAATGTAAATATAAAATTTGTTTTTTCATTCAACTTTTCTTTTTCCATGAGAATGTGTTATAAGATATCGTTTCTTCTTTGTGTAATATTTTATAATTCTTCATTTGCATTAATTATGGGCACAATTTTAATTACATTGACATCAAATATATATTCTTCTTCATTCACCCAAGATGGTTCTTATTGAAGCTCCAGATCTTTTTCAACATTTCACTCATCATTAGAGTCTGTAATTTACTAATATTTAATCAAAGTCTTATTTTTTTCTTGTATTTCTATCCTTCAATTTAGTATCATATCTTACAGACACGAGCGTTTAACCTTAGTAAGAATCTAAGATTAAAAAAAAAACATCTTTTTTAAGTAGTTATATATTAAGGCAAATAATAACAATTTTTAAAAAATAAGAAGTCATTACTAAAGTTAAATCTGCTCCAATTTCTTTCTCAATTTGATAAATTGCAGGTGTGACTAAGAGCTTGAATAACAAAATTCGTTTACTCTAGTATTTTCCCGCCAAATCTCATCCACCAACCAGGATGAGATCTTAATTTTCTTCACTCCATAACAAGTCTGCTCCCAAAGTATCCTTTTAAGTCATCAAACAAGTCTAGTTGAATATCAGCTCTAAGGCAATTTTCATAATCCAATATTCTTTTTATTTAAGCAATTAACCCTTGCTTTACATCTTCTTCTTTAGAGAAATTAACTTCAAAGCAAAATTGAGGGTTTAAATAATAACCAGCTGTATGTGGTGGTTTATGAAGTTGAACTTCCTATCTTGCTTCAATTTTCCTCTAAATGGGTCTATATTTCTTTTCATTATGCTCACAATTAAAAACATTTTTTTTTCTTTTGTTGAATACATTAACTCATAAATATAATTCACAACCGACCTTTTTTCTGAGTCAACCCCTTTTAGGTATTTACAAGAGATACAACACTCTTGATACAGTAAGCAAGATGACCAAAAAATATGGATCGAATAAAATAATATCTTGTGTTTTTATACCTTTTGTTTTCTTAGCCCATTGACTAGAACATAAAGCTTCTGAGGAGAACATTGCCTGAAATGGTTGTTTCTGTTTGTAAATGCTTTGAACAGTAAAATATGATGTAGCAAAACCTGTAATGGTTGAACGAATGAGTTCCTTTCCTTGTAAAAGTTCCCATCAAACCTAAAACTCATGTGTGCACGTAATGAATTTAAAAAATTATTTTAATTTTGCAAGCGTGCTTTCGTGAATTTTCAACTTTCCAACATTTTTTAATATGAGGTTAATTCAATGTGTTGCACATTGTGTCCTATAGATATGCTGCCTTTTTTATTACCTTTTTATCCGCATTCAAATTTGCACCACATTTTTCTCCCCTACTTTCTCAATCACATCATCCAAATAAGTGAATAATAACTCATCACTCTTTATAAGATCAAAAGAAATAACAAATTTAAGAAAAAAATTCCAGTTGGACTGTTAACAAAAAACATTAATTAAAGTCATACTTTTATCAATAATTTAACTATCTGACATAATTGAACACTCATATTTGCTCTGTCTTCTTATACTCGTTTAACATCTTATTGATTGTAGCAACTTTATCTCTTAGTATCCAAATTTTTAATTCATGCATTGTAGGTGTGGTAATGTACCAACTGCTTCTAACATAGACATACAATATGGGTCATTGACAACATTAATTGTCAAATTGACTTAATAGCAAAATCTATCAATTGCCTTACATGCTTGTTTTCTATCATCTTTTTTTAAATTAGAATTTAGAGTAGAATTTCTAGCCTGTGTTGTGGTGAAAGAATTTATTGGACCTTTAACTTTATGTGCTCTCTGATATGACTCCAGTAATGATGTGTTAGTGTCATTTTTACCTTCACAAACACTTGTTGCACAACTTCTAATGCCAGTTAATACACTATCACATTGTGCTTTGACTTTTTCATCTTCTAATATTTTCTTACATTTCTCTTGAACTTCAGTGGGGGCTTTAGTGCTTTAGTGTATGGTTTAATGCCCTTATGTGTGCCAATAAGATGTTGTTTCATCATGTTTATTATTCCACTGCACACTTGGTTGCAAAACTTATATCTGAAATATTGTTCATTGGATGTGCTTAATTTGCATTTTGCCATGTAAAGTCCTTTCCAATGCGACTAATAGTGGTCACACAATCCAACCCTTTAATTACAATTAATTATTAACACTGCACATCATAATTAATGAAAATATGTAGTTAAAATAAATGCCTAAATATACATTCAAAATGATCCTAGATGCGGAATTCACTATAGCTATAGTAAAATTTGCACATTAATTCCATTATAAAACTCGCATGTTTATGTTTCAATTTTTCATAGACTGTAGCCCTCGTGGATGTGGTTTGGATGGTGCGACAGTTGGGCGAGACGCCTGGATTGCGCTACGGTGACAGGTGCGGAACTACGAGGCTGAGTGTGAGTCTCCTGCGTGCGACTGGGAAGATGAACAGAAGGGAGGAGGCGGCTAGATCGTGTTGTGTTTTCTGTGTCAGTTTCTTCTATCTGCGGAAGTCTGCGGGAGAGGCTGCGGGAAACTGGGAGAAATGAAGCTGTGATTCAGGTAGGTTTGAGAAACGACACGATTAGGGCTTTTTTTTTCTTTTAATTAGCCCGCAAGTGGCGTGTATGCCCTCCGTGGGGCGCAAAATAAGTTTCTGGTCATAAAAGGCTTGTCGGGGGGGCGTACAACCAGTGAGGAGTATGTCCTCCTCATTGGGCCAGAGCGTAATGTTTCACGCCTTGCTTAGGAGCGCGCCCCAATAACGTTTTTTAAAACACGTGTAGACACACACATTGAAATTTCAATGTAATACTCCTTGTTATCCATCTGATAGACCGGAATTGGATAACAATATGACACTTTTCAGCTTACTGTGAGCTCGCTTGGAACTTATTACCTGGTTAGAAAGGTAAAATTATTAGAACATCTTACAGTCAAAAGTAAATTTAGCAGTTATGCTTTTGTGGCAGTTCTCATTCTCATCTTCTGTTTCTCATATAATATAACTTACTATTTTATTGCTGTTTATTCTTTTCTTCAGAGATTAACCTTTCTCTTCTACTTGAAGCAGGAGTACTGAAAATCTGTTTTGTTGACCATTTGTATTAATAGAAGGTCAAACAGCTTGGTAAGTGTGGGTATAATTGCCTTTACTGGCATCAGTTTTATCCATACTGCATTTCTCTACCATCCATTTTGTTAACTCTTTGGTTTATCTGATACCTGAACTCCTTTTTGCTCTTTTGTGGTTTCCGTATCTTCTAGCTTCAATCAAAAGGCATATCTTCCTGGAATATTACTTCTCTTTGTAAGGCAGTTAATGTCTGCTCCCTCTACTAAATCTTTGGTTGGTTCTATGTCTATGCAAGCTTCTAAGAAGTACAAAAACTCTGACAAGGCTCAGCAATTCTACCATATGAAAAGCTCCAAGCCTGCAAGGGAAGCAGAATCACATTATCCGCCACAGAATCATCAATTAGCGGACCATCTTAGCTCCAACAACGCATCCAGGTCAAGAAACTTACCACATCAGCAATCTGGCATGCAATACTGCACATTGGAGTCATCCTCTGTTGCTGCTCGCAATGAAATTCAACAATCTTCTTGTATCAGCTTAACTTCTACTACTGGTAGTAGCCCTACGTCACAGCATGACTCCCTTTCAGACAATACCTATGGCTCTCCAGCAAGCGTTTCATGCATAACTGAAGACCCTTATGATCTCAAACACAAGTTGAGGGAACTTGAGACAGCAATGTTTGGGCCTGAAATGGGTAATGGAGATAGTTTTGAAACTGTCTTTAAAAAGCAACTCCTCCTCGAACCTGAGAAATGGAAACTATTAGAGATTGTGAGGGGGGACTTAAAGCAGGGTCTCATAGCCTGCGCTCGTGCGGTGGCAGATGACGATCTTTTAATGGCTGATTTGTTGATAACTGAGTTAAAACAGATGGTTTCAGTATCCGGGGAACCAATCCAGCGCTTAGGAGCTTACCTTTTAGAAGGCCTCATTGCTAGGCTGGAATCTACTGGTAGTTCAATCTACAAAGCTCTCAAGTGTAAAGAACCTACTAGCGCTGAGCTCCTCTCATACATGCACATTTTATATGAGGTCTGTCCCTACTTCAAGTTTGGGTACTTCTCTGCTAATGGTGCCATTGCTGAGGCTTTGAAGGGTGAGAATGCAGTCCACATCATAGATTTCCAGATTGCACAGGGAAGCCAATGGATATCTCTAATACAGGCTCTTGCAGCAAGGCCTGGGGGGCCACCCCGTGTTAGAATCACAGGAATTGATGATTCTATTTCTGAGTATGCCAGAGGAGGAGGTTTGCATCTTGTGGGGCAGAGGCTATCTCATCTTGCAGAGTCCTGTAACGTGCCATTTGAATTCCATGCTGCTCCATTGTTAGGCGGTAATGTGCAGGTTGAACATCTTTCTGTATGTCCAGGGGAGGCCCTGGCTGTCAACTTTGCTTACCAGCTGCATCATATGCCTGATGAGAGTGTGAGCACTGAGAATCACAGGGACCGAATCCTGAGAATGGTGAAGAGCTTATCACCAAAGGTTGTCACCCTTGTGGAGCAAGAATCTAACACGAACACTGCCCCTTTCTTCCAGCGGTTTTTGGAGACCTTGGATTACTACACGGCCATATTCGAATCAATTGATGCAGTTCTTCCTAGGGATCACAAGGAGAGGATTAGTGTTGAGCAGCACTGCCTCGCAAGGGACATTGTTAATGTCATTGCTTGCGAGGGAGCAGAAAGGGTTGAACGGCACGAACTTCTTGGGAAATGGAAGTATCGGTTCAGAATGGCTGGATTTACACCTTTTCCACTGAGTCCTTTTGTTAATGCAACAATAAAGTCACTCTTGGGAAACTACTGTGATCATTACAAACTAGAAGATAGAGATGGAGCTCTATATCTTGGATGGAAGAATAGAGTATTGTCAGTTTCTTGTGCTTGGCTGTGAAGTTTTGTAAAACTCTGAATTATTTAAGGTTTGTTTGGAGATTGCTTTTCTGCTTCTTTTCTGTTAAAGTAGAGGCTATTGTAAAGGGCGTAGTGGCTATATGTAGTAGTTTGAATTGTAGAACTAAACTTGCTGGCTAAAATGCTGTGTTTTAACTGGTAAAGAAATAAATATGGCAATTGATTCTCATTTTCCTGCTCAGATGGAATGCCATTTTCTGCATGACTTCAGTTTTTCTTAATCCGTTCTTTGAGTTCTTTTTAGAATTTATGTTCAAGTGTCGAGTAAATCACATATTAAGGGGTCAAATGGGTCGAATGCATTGGATTGATTCTTGCTTGTATTCAGTCCATTTTGTCAATGAGTTAGAACAGTTTTATTTCAGTGTATTTATAGAATGAGTCAAATTGGAAGCTAAATTATTTGCAAATTTTGAACTTTTGCAAATCCCGACTTCTATTTTGTTGTTAGGTGATTTGGTGTTTGGATATGTTCATCAAAATAATAGCAAAATAAAGGCGTTCGTCAGTCCTTTTTAGTCTAATCTCTCTCATTGTTAGTCTCTTTAGATTTTATTTGATTGTTATTTTTTAACTGTTCCTTAGTACTTATATTTGTAGTGGGGATTTTGTATATATTTTTTGTTGACATAAACCTTTCATAACATTGAAATTTACAAGAAGTTTGAATGTCATTTCTATATATTGTACCTTATAGTGGGTAAATTCATTGATAAGCTTATGTGAAGGATTCTATTGGCCACATTTGTAGGAGAGTAGGTTAGCACTTTTTGCCACGTCAGGAAAGGTTGTATTAGTTATTTTGATAATTTTCATTACAAATTATATAATGAATTATTCATTACAAATATTATAATGAAAAATTACAGTATAATTATTTATGATGAAAACCCATTAGTAATTTGTCAATGGATCTCAAATTAGGTACAACCCACTTTCTTGTTGAATCATGCTTCATCTTTTCTTTATTTTTTCTTTTAAGTTATTTACAAGTGATCCTCACCCTAATCTCTCGGACTCCTAATTAACGCCCATCCCGATTCCCTCTCTCTCTAATGTGAGATCACTTCCTCTTTCCATCTTTTCCTCAATCATTATTTTTCTCTTTCTCTTACATTTCTTCATCTTCTCTATTTTGTGCTAGTGCCACACCAGTAAAATTAAATGTCGATGCCTCTCTTCCTTCAAATGCATAAACCCCTATAGTTTATTACATCTTAAGCGGGCAAACACTTAAAAAAACTCTCGATAAAAATCAGGAATCTTTTGTTTTCATGAGTTCAAAATGAAGGGTTTTCAACGAACATGATTGTGAAATTTTCAACAGGGATTGGGATTGTTAAATTTTCAATAGGGATTGGTTCAAAGGTAAAGTGGTTCAAAGGTAAAAGATTTTGTTTTAAGAATCAAAGAAAGAAAATAAGGGTCATGAATTCAAAAGGAAGGGTTTTCAACGAATATGATTGTTAAATTTTCAATAGGGATTGGTTCAAAGGTAAAGGATTTTGTTTTAAGAATCAAAGGAAGAAAAGTAGGGGAGATTAAAGATCTAGAATAGGTTTTTGGTAATCCCCCAAACTATCCTAATGTTTGGCTCAATTTAGGATGATTTAATTTAAGTTAACTCTTGCCAGTTTTATTAATTAGGGCTTATATTTGTGTAATGATGATTTACATAAAAAGCCTAGAAAGATAGGAGGTTTTACGTTGAGTAACTACCTCAAAATCCTAAAATAAGTTAGGGCATGCTGCATATCGGGACTATGCAAGAGACTAATAAAAAGAGAGGTTTTATGTCATAAAAGACAGCCTCAGAATCCTAAAGATTGTTATTTAAACTAAAGAAAGGTCTTGAACAAGCTGCCCATGAAGTCTGCCCCGAGTTCCTTGTTCAAGTGCCTTCAAGTCTTCGTGTCCTCCGATCTTATTATTAAAAGTTTTATTTATTTCGATAATTTTATGGTGAATTAATTAAAGGGTAGTGGAGGTATAGTTCACACATAGGCCAAGGCTAAGTTCATTTATGCTAAGTAATTCCCTAGTGTTATGATTTTTAGGTTCTCCCTAATCTAAATAACTTTAATTTCTTCATTATTTGTCCTTAACCATGCATTCTATGTTTGATAAAAGCAGTAAGAAAACATGCATTGAGATACATAAAGCAATAAATAGAGCAAATAAGGAAATAATATTTTATCAAATTTTTATTAAATTTTAATTATTTAATTAGTGGTAACCCAGTCAAGATGTCTAAGGCTCCGTCGTCCCGGGTCGTCGGGTGCCCTAGTTTACTTAGTCAGAAAGGTGGTTGCCCACAAGGACCGGAAGATTCTTGTCAACATCTACAGAATGCACTGTCTAAGAAATCTTCGTGAACTAGAACAAAAAGGTGTTTAAGTTGCGTTATGTGATCTTTATGATTAAGATTTAATTAACTCTTGAATTACTTTATCGATTTAAGGGTTGAAATGTTTTTCGGTTTTTTACATCTTGTTGTCGGATTTTAAGTGTTTTATTTTAGTTATTTTTGTTCACTTGTTATTATTTACGTAAGGTTGACGACTTTGAAGTTGACTTAACCTCAAAGCCATGCTTTAAAGCCTTGTTGTGTTCAATTTAGTTTAATTTAAAGTTTTAATGTATTTTATGTGAATTTTAGCCTTCCCAATATGTTTTATTTTATTTCTTAATTGATTGTTCAAGTTAATTGATGTTCAAGTTAAGGGGTTTAGGTTTAACTTAGGTTTAAGGTTATACCTAAAAGATTCTTTTATGTTCAACCTATGAGTTAGGTTCTAACCTAAGGTTTAGGGTAGGTTTAGCTTAAAACTAAGCCATGATTTAAGTTTTTTGTACTTAAAGATTATGGTTGGATTAGGGTTAACTAACCTAAGGTTTAGGTTAACTAATTTTATTGATTTAGGGTTAACTAACCTAAGGTTTAGGTAAACTAATCCTATTGGTTTATGTTTAACTAACCTCAGGTTTAGGTTAAATAATCCTATTGGTTTACGTTTAACTAACCTGAGGTTAGGTTAACTAATTCTATTGGTTTATGGTTAACTAACCTAAGGTTAGGTTAACTAATCCTATTGGTTTGGGTTTAACTAACCTAGGGTTTAGGTTAACCAATCCTATTGGTTTAAGGTTAGCTAACTTAAACTGGCTTAGCTAATCTATGGATTCAAGGTTAACTAACTTAAGGTTTAGGTTAACTAATCCTATTGGTTTAGGGTTAACTAACCTAAGGCTTAGGTTAACTAATCCTTTTGGTTTAGGGTTAACTAACCTAAGGTTTAGATTAACTAATCTTATTGGTTTTGGTTTAACTAACCTAAGGTTTAGGTTAACTAATCCTATTAGTTTGGGGTTAACTAACCTAAACTAGCTTAGCTAATCCTATGGATTTAGATTAACTAACTTAAGGTTTAAGTTAACTAATCCAATTGGTTTAGGTTAACTAACCTGAGGCTTATGTTAACTAATCCTATTGGTTTAAGATCAATTAACCTGAGGTTAGGTTAACAAATCCTATTTGTTTAGGGTTAACTAACCTGAGGTTAGGTTAACAAATCCTATTGGTTTGGGTTTAGCTAATCTAAGGTTTGGGTTAACTAATCGCTAATCTTATGGTTTAGGGTTAACTAATCTAAGGTTTATGTTAAATAATCCTATTGGTTTAGTTTTAATTAACCTAAGGTTTAGGTTAACTAATCCTATTGGTTTAAGGTTACCTAACTGACCGACTTCTTTTTGTGACTTTTTGTAAATCGACAAATACAAGAATTTAATGGCGCTACTAGAAGATTTAATTTTCAGCAACGACATCCAAAGACTTGATCGCGACTTCATAAATGTGTCTAATTTGATTAAGTTGTATAATTATAACATTCAATAATGTTAAAGTCAAAGTTGTCAACGCAAGTATACGTATCGCTCAAGTAATATAAAGCTCTAATGGAGTCCTAGATATCGATCCCACAGGGAGTGTTTTAGAATCACGGACTAAGACTTTTAGAAAAGCAAGACTTTAATCACAACAA